GAGCTTGGGAGTTTCTAAATATATGATGCGGTCTCGAGGACTGAAATACTATACATAATTTCCAAGTACGGCTTTCCATGAACCTCGCCATAACTGTATTGTTGAGTTTATTGTTTTTCTGAACTCTTCACGAGGTTTGTAAACAAGCTTTATTAGGCTGACGTTTCGGCGATATCGCCTTCTTCAGAGCCTAAAAGGATCATAACCACCTGTGACTATCCGACCAAACGTCTCCACCAACTCACCGAAGTTCGAGACCCCCAGGGGCGCAAGCGATCGAAAGGAGAGGCACTCACCGTAGCTTCGTGGAATCTTCGAAACCACCCAGCAAGTGATGGTATCAACCGACCACTGTCAGTTGGGGTAAATCCTTATTGAAAGTCACTGCTGGAAGGCCAGTCTTATATAAGGCTGCAGCTCCCGCGTGATTGTGAGACATTCTTCCTTACGATTCATTTTTGGATCAGTGACTTGTATCCAAAATGCCTCGAGGGTCTTGCGTGCGCACAATTCCGACTCCTGTACTACGACCTCCACGGTAACCTCAAAAACGCCTCCGTTATGCTTTCGAATTCGGTGACTCTCCCCAATATACTCATCACCGCAATCACGGCAAGTAATTTTGTCAGACATGTTACAATCACCTTCCCTTCCAGCTGGACAGACCACACAGTTTGAGCCAGAATGAGCTACAACCTCAAACTGTGATGTCTGTCCAGCTGGAAGGGAAGGTGAGTGTAACATGTCTGGGGTGGTCTACAAAATTACTTGATGTGATAGCGGTGATGAGTATGATGGCAAGACGGCAAGACCGCTCCACTTGAGGGTTAAGGAGCACATAGGTGGTATGAGACGATTGAAAGAGTCTACTGCCTGAGGGAGTCACCGNATTCGAAAGCATAACGGAGGCATTATTGAGGTTACCGTGGAGGCCGTAGCACAGGAGTCGGAATTGTGCCCACGCAAAACCCTCGAAGCTTTTTGGATTCAAGTCACTGATCCAAAAATGGATTGTAGGGAAGAATGTCTCGCAGTCACGCGGAAGCTGCGGCATTATATAAGGTTGTTATGATTCTTTCAGGTTCTGAAGAAGGCGATATCGCCGGAACGTCAGCCTAATAAAGCCTGTTTACAAACTCGTGAAAAATTCAGAAAAACAATGAACTCAACAATACATAGTTGTTGTTTTTTATTAGGGACGTCACACGTATTTCCAAGAAGAATTCCGAAGGAACCCTCAGTGTCAAAGAAGAACATATACTGTGAAAAGGCAGCCAAAACCATCAATTGGAACGCATGTTCATTAAATAGCAAGCCGATTCCAAGCTTAGTGAACACCTCCGCATTGGGTTCAGCGTTGGTCGCCTAACACTACCTCCCATCGACCCGGTTATCAGATTTCTGCGGAAACCGATGACGCTATGGTCTGACCTTTTAGAGGATATCTGCGAGTTTCAAAAGTAAATGAGGTAACTTGAAATAGAGGGGAAGGCATTGCAACGCTGGTTGGTTGTCTATCGGTAAGAAAGAAAAAGGAAAAATTTCCGAATCAAGAGCACGGCTCTTGCCTTTGTCAAACGCTTTCAGAATTTATCTTGCTAGACGCCTTTGATTGCAGGCATTACAGAAGCAATGGATACATTGAAAACCTTGCGAGTTTTTCGCGAAATTTCGTGCTATTTCACTTTTTTATCGTAAGGTTTCTCCAAATGCTTTATGAAAAGTTTTTCAATACGTTGCCATTCCCTACTTCTTTCACAGATAACCTACACCCTCCAGAATCAGAGTAACCGAGTTCACCCCCATGTAGTGCTAGGCGATGCAGAATTGAGGAGAGCTATAAAGTAGTCGTCTACAGCACATCAATATCGAAAATCTTAGAAAACGCCACAAAAGTAAGCGTGTTAGCTGTAAGCTCATTCCTGCTTGCGATCCCAGTCATTGGACAACGTTCATCGCCCATCGCCTNTGAAAACTTTGCGAAGTTTTTCGCGAAATTTCGTACTATTTCACTTTTTTATCGTAAAGTTTCTCCAAATGCTTTATGAAAAGTTTTTCAGAACGTTGCCATACCCTACTTCTTTCACAGATAACCTACACCCTCCAGAATCAGAATAATCGAGTTCACCCCCATGTAGTGCTAGGCGATGCAGAATTGAGGAGAGCTATAAAGTAGTCGTCTACAGCACATCAATATCGAAAATCTTAGGAAACGCCACAAAAGTAAGCGTGTTAGCTGTAAGCTCATTCCTACTTGCGATCCCAGTCATTGGACAACGTTCATCGCCCATCGCCTTGGTTGCTTACGCACTTCTTCCTGGCTGGAGTACGACATAAACTCTACGTTCACAGTGCCGTCATCTTGTTCCCCACCTCCTGGATTGCGAGGTATTCGAGAGCTGCAGAGCGTTCACCAGGAGTCTGAGGCTTCTCATCGCCTCAGACTCCTGGTGAACATGCAGACTCATGGGCAAAGGAGTAGCCGAGCAGTCTCGACGATAACGGCCACCGACCTCTTTGGAGGAGCTGCATTCCTTTCCCAACCTTTCTTCAGGTAACGTTAAGACGGGGTCAGTTGTAGAAAAAGAAAAAAGGATAGCCCTGTCTGCAGGTAAGAAGGCATTCTTCACACATTACGATGAGGAAAGTTGTTAAAGAAGAGGGCTGAGTGATATCTGCACTACACCCTTTTTAGAATGTAACAACGCATTGAATCACCAGAATGTTAGATCTTCTCACAGACAACACTTCAAACTGTGCAAAATACTTTAGATGAATAAGAACATCTCAAACAGGAGAAGGTGATGAGCCACTTTTTTTCATTTTACTGAAAAAATCTCAGTGGAATCAACCCTACCTAATCGCGTAGTATGCAACAAACAAATGTTATATCAAAATAAGTTGAACAGGAGAAATGTTTTTTGATCCTTCCTGCTTCTGAATAATCACGCTTTTGAGAGGTTTGAGCTTGAATTCTCAATTCTCTCAACTGAGCCTTCCTCTTCGAATAGACACGCTTAATGCTCAATTCTTCGAGATAATTAAATAACCACGAGGTTTTTGAACCGATCACAGTCTACACGCATTTCCATCACGAATGTGACTCATTACTCTCGAAGTGGCAATTTGACTTTACTACTACTGTAATCAAAGTCTAAGCATTCTTTATCCTCTAGATCATTGCTCCTCAGCTCAGCGATACCGTTTTGTATCACGTCTTGAGCATTCTTTAGGGCACTCATTCTCTATAAAATCTTCTAAAATGTTGTTCTGAGTGATTTGTTTATTTGATATAACTTAATCAATTGAGAATTAGAAAAACATTCATCTCTGCGAGAAAATCAAACTATGCTCTAAGGGTAATAATTTGATGAAAATCGTTAATAGATGTTCCCAGCTTACGGCCACCTCAATACTGACGGAGGGGCGTTTCATTCTTATGCAGGAATACTATTTCTCGCTAACAGACTCTCCACATGGTTTTCTCCCTTTATTTGTTGCACCTAACGGCTTAGTTTTTCACTGTCCTTTAGTTGGATCTACTTCCTTTAAAGTACTAATAGTTCCATAACCTACCATTCGACACGATGAAGATTCGCTGTCAAATATAAGCGGGATAAAAATTTGGAGCTGAGATGAATGTAACTTTGACGTACAAGTTTGCTACAATGTAACCGCGTTATTTGCCCAATCTCATCGTCGAGTACCTGGAAAAGCAGCATACTAGATTAACCGGCTAAACTTCCAACGCGCTAGATCAGTCTCTGCTGTTATATCCCACTCAGGCAATCGAAAAGCAAAAGATATATGGGACACCACTCGAAAATAGCATTGAGACCTCCGTTCCATCTCACTGCTGTCCAATTGTATTTCGACAACAAGAAGAGCATTTCGTATTGTAGAGTTTGTTGTCTCAAAATATGTGGCATGGCTATCATTGATACAGTAGCGCTCAAAAGTTTGGCCAACTTTAACTTGCCGTAACTTTTTCCCAGTTTGGCAAATCGCATGAAATTTTGATATGTTTAACTGAAGCATATTTGACAGTAACCAATACTATTTGACTGCAAAGCAGCAATGTCCACATAACTAAGGGGAAGGCGTTTGCAGACTATGTAAAAGCAAGTTTGTGAGGTCTGCAGTTATTTGCACCTTATGTGCGTTTTTCTCCTCTACTGAGTTCGACATCAGCGCTCGTACACTTTGGTCATGGCAGAAAGGGGAGAAGTTCTAAAAGCACCAGTGTCTCTACTTCCAGTTGGTTTTGATTTCAAGCTCTTTGGGATATTTGGAATATGGTCAGATTGAGGTTCAATAGTGGTAAATATTCATACTACACCCATGCTACACATATTGGAATTTCGGTTGACTAGATCAAGTAGTAAAGGAGTTATGACTGAAAAGTGTGAAAGATTCAGTTCAACGATCGTCGTAGTGGGCTCTCCTTTGGAACTACGGGTAGTGTAGTTCCTGTGTCTTTTACGTGCAATGATAAGCGGCTGTTGCAATCGTTTGGAAGAAGTAGATTAGCTGAAAGGTATATTTGTTGACTGAGATAGAAAAACATGATTACTGCTAGGTTTTGTCGCTAACATATTTCTGCATGCCTGATTCATTATNGTAGTGGGCTCTCCTTTGGAACTACGGGTAGTGTAGTTCCTGTGTCTTTTACGTGCAATGATAAGCGGCTGTTGCAATCGTTTGGAAAAAGTAGATTAGCTGAAAGGTATATTTTTTGACTGAGATAGAAAAACATGATTACTGTTAGGTTTTGCCGCTAACATATTTCTGCATGCCTGATTCATTATGCCCAGTTCTCAAAAAGATTGAATGTGGGCAATGTAAATGAAAGTATTTCAGGATGTCGGTGTTTCCTGTCTACTCTTTGGAATCCTCACTTCCAGAAGTTCCCCCTTCGGAATCCGAGACCGGAAAGCAGATAGCCTCTGAGATAAACCCTATTTCAAAAGATGGAGATACAGTGTATCAAGCTCATTGCGATGCGAGGCACTGTGCCACTGGGAGTTATGAAGACAACGTTGACAGTTTTGGAAACTATCACAACTATATCTGTGTTAATCGTGAGCTCATTTTTACTTGTTATTCTACTCGTTGGACGACGTCGTTTCACGGTGAGTGTAACGAAGAACCTCTTAACGCATATGTAAGAGGGAATTACGAAAAATGCGTAAATAACCTTAGCATTACAGGTACCGTTCTTCAGAATCCTCACTGTCCTTGTCGCAGTCATATGGACTCGATCTATTTTGAGCGTTCTTCTCAAGCTGATTACCCTCTGGTCAGGAGCGCTGATTGCTTACCAAGGTGTTATCACGTTAACGGCTGATATGTTGTTCAAGAAAGTAATAATTCTACTAATTTTTCTTCTGGCTCTAAATCGTTTTGCTGTAATTTTATATGCCACATTGGACAAGTTACTATTCGCTCGGTGAGTTTCAGTATTGATGTTCAGCTTTGGGTTCGCTTTTCACCGTTTCGGAATCACGGCATCGTATAACTCTGGATGATTTAGATATCGTTACATTGTCCTGTGCTTTACTTGCTTTGCCGTCTCAGCAGCGGAAACATACGCCGTAATAACGACATCGAAGTTGCGGAGAGAGTTTGTGCCTGATATCGGATTTATAGACTACATTGATTCGCCAACACCGTATGAAGTGAGCGTTCATACTCAGCGTCAACTCTTATGTATGTATATTTATATCATCTAGCATTATTCGTACAGCAAGGAACATGGGCGCCCAGACGCATACGATATGTCCGAATCGAGAATCGTAGTGGCGAAGCGAATGCGTACATGGCCTATAAAATGGCTAGCGGTGGCCGATCTGCAATAAAAACCAGTGTTTTTATCCTCCTAGACGAGCCTGGTACCAATTTACCGGCCTCGGAGGGAGGGAAGGCTCGGCTGGCCTGGGTGAATACCGATCTCGGATTCGAGCCCGTGACCATGCGTTTGTGATAGTGCGCCACTTACCACTACACCACCTTCAACCGGTGCAGAGATTAATTTTTATGAGCGAGGTACACCGCTACAGACTCATTTTTCAACCAAAAGCTACGAGGGGAAAGCTTGTGTACAAATTGGTTACACCGGTAAGGGGAAAATATCAAAAAGCATCAGAATACATTCACTTGTCGAAGGGAAGTCAGAAGAGGAGAGAGTTCAGTGTGAACCATATAAATTCGATCATTTCCCTACAGATTGGCTGTGCAATTTCACTAGCGATCGCTTTTGCTTCCGTGTGTTTACACTTGGTGATTATTGTTTATCTGTTATACCATCGCCGTCAATCCTCAGTGAACACTGCTAAGGTTTGTGGACTTTTTGAGGAATCCACCGGGAAATAATTACTTTGTTTCCGGTACAACAAAGAATGTTTCGAGAAGTCGTTCTGATGGCATTGGTGAATACGGTGAGTTGTGTTCGCTTCTGATGACTTCAGAAATCTTTTCCCGATGGTAATACGATAATGCACTAAAAGCCACTTCTACGAAGATACATTTTCAGATGTTCACTTTGATATTCATTCTTCTCTACCGCATACCCTATTCCAATGAGTCACGGATCACTATCATCAGCATTTACAACATACTATGCTTCATTCCTGATATTCTTATACCACTTTTCATACTAATCGGGTCTCGTGAAATACATGCAGAGATCTCAACAAGACTTTCCAATGTTAAAAAAGTGAAATTACCTCGTGGAACCGTTACGCAGCCTTAAAATAAATAATTGCTCTTTGAAACCTTATCTTTTCTCTCTATCTCCAGCAATTCTGAGATGGACAATATTTTTGGCTCCGCCAATCGTATATCTAGCATTTCACGGGCCTTTCTGGCCGTTTAGTAAACGACAAATGTACTGGGACGAGGCTCGATCGAAAGATTGCCACCCTATGGATGCTACATTTGGTGTGCTTGCTGTGAGGCAGACTCTTAGGTGAACCCAGAGTCGGAAATTTAAAGAAACCTAAAGAAACAAAGGTATTGCAAATGAACGAGGTCTCCAAGGGAAACCTTTCCTCTTAAAGACCCCGTTCACTCACCCTTGCCACAGCAGTTTTTTCTTACCAATCAACATCAAAAATCTGTGTTTACGCTACTGATTCCATGTATCTTTATTATTCTGATCGATTATGCACGTAAAATACAGACAGCAGTAATCAATCGCTATGGTCGCTATACGAACTGAATCATAAGAATCACAGGCGATAACCGTGTTATGACTGGCGGTGCTTGTAATTGTCATCGAAATACAACTACAAAATAACTCAGTGCACTTATTTCGGAAATGCATTGATTATGGTATACTTTGCCGTTATGTACCAACTTCCTTATATTATCGAGTGAACGGGCGATTGGAGAGAGTCACATAGGCCATTGAAGCATCATCCTAACGATTCCGTTCATTTAAGGAGACANAGTGAATTATAGCCTATGACCCCCAATTCGAGACAGAAATAAGACATTCACCTAGGCTATGGAGGCATAATCGCAATCAGAAGTGAATGTGGATTGGTTGGGCTAAGGAACCAGATCGGTTCAAAATTGGCATAGTTTCTGAACCAGTGAGCCCGAGCTCCTTTTACTTTCTAAGCTTTACCGTGATGGTCTCCTGAGGAGGCTGTGTTCAACTTCTATGGTTGTTTTGAATGAAATGATCGGTGATTCGATGCTTCATGATTCTGAGCGCTTCTTCCAACAGATAAATGAAATTTGGTCACAAAAAGTCAGTAACTCCAAGCATACAGGAGACTCATCCACATTCTTCATCTACGACTACGTCCATCAAATCGGGTACGAATGGAGGAAGTCCAGAATCGCTTTCGCAGGAACCGTGGCTTCGACCCACGTCTGCAGCCGAAGAACATGCCACCTAAACCAGAGCTTCTAGATTTTCATTCTCTTCATACCGAGCTAGGCAGAAAGAGAAAGCAACCTTATAATCTTGCCATCACTGAGGCTCTTCAAAGTTACTCCTTTAGCGAAGTGCCTCCAACTAATTATTTCCTTACCAAATCATTTTTAGTAAGTACTGGTCAGAATCAGCGCTACCTTTCTCCAGATTCTAAGCACCTCAACTACATGAAAACGTAGAACTGCTCAGTGCACCAATGCATACTATCGTAAACTAACTTTAATCCCACCGAAACTGACTCTGACATCTATACCAATGATGAGAAATGGTTTGATTCACGTGCCGACTTCACGATTTTTCATATACCGACTCGTAATAAAAAGTATTTTGTGAAGAAAAACAAAGAGAAGATAAAAGTAGCGAAATTTCTGAGGAGAAACTAACCAGATCGTTACCCAAAGGCATTGAATGGGAATGGGGATTATCATACAGCGACCAATCAATTGTTCGGAAAAAGGCGTGCGCTCGAACAGCTTCCAAAGATGGCCGTGAAGCAATGTCTGTTAGAAGTCTGCAAAGAAGGGGAGCTTTCACTCATCATCAACCACCATCAGACATGTTTATAGAGAACAAATAAATGCAGATAAACGGAGAAATCGAATTGCAGCCCTCCATAACAGGTTCACAATGAAAGTACTCACCGTGACAGCAGGTCCCTCGCCTCATACGAAACTTTGACATCGTCTGGGAAAGGAAGCTCCTCGCATCTGAAAGGTTTGACATCCAATACGACCAACTGCAGAAATAGGCAGTAAAAATAAGAGATGGAGACCAAAGGCAAGGTTATGGTAAAGGTCTTGAAAGTAAAATTGAAAGAGAAGAAAAGTAGGAAGCAGTTTGCATAAAATGAAGATACTCAAATAGGAATTGATAAATAGAAAAAAATTTGATGAGCTCGTACAAATTGAGTGGAGTTGCTATCCATCCGCGACATTGCTGAGGGAGGTTTACAGTACACAGAAAGAGTTCTCCTTTTCCAAACATTGTGCAAGTAGCGAGTGCATCAGGATGAGTTTGCTTGAAAAGTATTTATAAATATAAATATTACTCACCTTGTTACTCCATGTGGCGCAGCGTTCACCAGCGCACGACCACCAAGCAACTCAAACGTTATGGCTGCTAGTGACCACAGATCGTTCGCTGCACTTGGAACCCATCCGTATTTGAAACACTCTTAAATAGGAAAATCGGAAGAGAACTGAATGATCCTACCCGCTTACTCAGTAAGCTTCACTGTCAACAACTGAAGCTGCCCGTGACTAGAAATCACAAAAAATACTAAAAATAGGTATTGCAACTCACCAGGGGCACTATATCCTTCAACGATTTCTTTCGGCCTATTGTTATAATGCCATTTACCATAATAGGTCATCTGTAGATTTCCATCCATATCGATGAGTAAATTGTCAGGACGAAGATCACTAAAGTAACACCGTTTCCAAACGAGTTTCAGTGCTAATACCTACATTATAAATGATGAGACTGTGCGGAATCTATGAAATATCACACTTTCAATTATTTAGTCCCAGATTCTCAATGATCATTTGGAAGCCTTAGTCTGCTCTGATACGATATAAGAATCGCAGTACTTGAAAGCGAATACTGGGTACCCTAACATGGTCACTCGACAACATCAACAGGTCAGGTAGCATTGAGAAAAAAGCTCTGTGTTATCAACTTTTGGATTCAAATAGGATCACATTACAGAGCCACACAAGGACTAGTCATGTTATTAGGGATCGAAAATGGGTGAGGACATAGGAAGGAAATGCACTTGACTTGACTCTGTGGTATCCCTACCTTATTACTCGACTGATTATTGGTGTGAAAGTCAATACCGTATCGAATTCTGAGCAAAAGGTGCTCACAATTAGCGGCGCGTTCTAGTCAAACTTAGGGAGGTAATCTGCTATCCGTAGTCATACAACAACGCAATGCCATAAGTCGCAATGAGAGCACGAAACTAGTGGACGCTTAGAATGGGGAAGTCTGACTTGTATTCCATTAAGCTCATATCACCGCTACTTTTGATGCTCAACACGAAAACTTCTTTAGTCAGATAGCATTTTTTCACTTGTAATCGAGCCAGAAACAAAATCACTCCGCTGAATATCCAGCACGACTACGACGAAATTAAATTCGTTCACATCTCCTCCCGAAACCTCACCATAAACTCTTCAACAAGACTTCTTNNNNCCAACTGACGATTTGTGCTGCCCAATGTACAATTAACGGCTCAGGAAGAGGACGGCGACCAGGCCATGTCCGTCGCCGCTCACGTCGAAGGTATGAACGCACACTGGATATGCAATCCAACAAGGTATGACTGGCTGATTCTGAAGTTCAAATCCTTTCAATTTGCCATTTCTTTCCGATTTCTTCAGAAATTAAAGAAACAGGCTAAACAGATCGTCAGTCGCCATAATATGAGTAAAATTCCAACTAAAAGTGCAGTCATCAAGTAATCATCAATCAATCCTTATGAAAATAAGTTTTACGAAGATCTCGCTGGTTCCACGTTCTCAAAAGAAACAATTTGTTCAAATTTGAAATTGGCATCAACGCTGATAGAAAATAATCTCGGTTGGGCTCCAGTTCTTTTCAACTCGAATAAACAAAAAGGCTACAGCTCACCGTCACCTGATTTATCATCCACTTGCCGACGGGGTAACTGTATCGCAGCTGGGGACTCCTCATCATGTATCGATAAGTTTTCGACTCCGGCATTTTCGAGCAAGTAGAAATCACCTGGAGCGGAATTCTCATAAGCTCACTTGTTCAATGAGTTCTTTTTAAGCTAGGTAGGATATACACACTAGGATATATTGACATTCAAATACATAAATATCACAAGAGGCGGAGCCCATATCTCTACTAATTAGCTGCGTAATTTAGTTTTCGAGTAAGAAGCATAGGTGTTTTTTGCTTACATAACAGACTCCCAAAAAATCGCTCTTGGAATAAACAAGACTAAAAAAAGATGATATAACGACGTAGCCGTTTTATGTCATGTATTAATTGCGTGCAACATTCGTTGCTCACAAGGAATGATAACAGTTTCAGTTTTAAAAAGGTGAAGTACCTTCTGGAGCTCTGCAATCACCCGTAGCATCCTCACCCATAGTACATAGTCCAGACACGGAAGGCACATCACTCTAAAATGACCAAAAAATAAGTTCAGCTTTTTATCACACGCTACTAGTTACTAGGATAAGCTCACACTCTGCGTTTCATCACGCATTTCAGCCACTCGTTCAAAATCAACGCCAACAGAAAAGTGTAGACGACGACCTAGAATTACCCAGAAGTTTAATGACACTAGAACGATATGTATAAGTCATTCCAAACCCCTGTAGCAATCCATTGAATCCATTCCCATCTGATGAACATCAATATCACATCCTACTTCTGCTCCACTTTCTGCTAGAACGAGCAAAAATCGTCTTTCCGATTCGCTGAAGTAACGGATCTGAAAACAGCAAAAACACGCTCTACTTGCGGAATATTTGAAAAATAAATCAAGCCTTCACCAAAAAGTCCCACAACGTGCCACATTCCACATAGTCAAGCACAAGAATGATGAACGTTTCTGTCTCGAAAAATTGGTGAAGTTGCACCATATGTGGGACGTTTGTTGGAAGAAGAACGCGGCTTTTCGATGTACGAATTCCCTTCTCAATCAACTTCATGACGAAAGGTCTGCCTAAAAGGGACCAATCATAAGAAAATGGTGGCAGTAGCGCGGAACGTTAGACAGTTTCAATTGAGAACGTAATTTGTACGGCTCATGGTAAGAGAGAGAGAGGAGAAAGCGATTGCTGGTCCAGAAACCCAAGAAAAAACAGCGTAAGAAAAATGAGACATATAAGAAGAAGTTGTAGTGCAAGACTAAAGGAAAATTGCGGTGAAACGCACTTGGATTGGCTATATGAAAATGACGATGAGAGCTCGACTTTGTTTTTTGAAAAGTTCGAAAAGTGTGGTAGTCTATCAAATACAAACCAGACAAACGAATCACAGTAACACTGTTCTGATTGAAAACGCCAAATAATTTTTTGGAAGAGAAAGCACGGTATAATCACGATTTCTATGAAGAGATGGAGAGAAAGCACGGCATATTCACGATTTCTTTGGAAACCCCGAGTTTCTCTTTGAATTGAGCCCGAAAGCAATCTCGGAGCAAGCATCCGATTAATTTGCCTTAATGGTGTGTTGTGCAAATAATAAAACCCACCAGTTGACTTTTCCTCAACTTTCAACACCCACTTTGGAGCGCTCAAATTGGGTAGAACTCCAATAACACGATAGTTTTTGAGGCAGTTATTAGCACATTGGAATGCCAGCAGATCCGGATCCTTAAAATAGACAACATCGAGAAGGGCTTAACGATGTGTCACTGCTTTTCATGTATTCACTTTGGATGAACGAGCTGTCTTCAATGATGAAAAAAAAAAACAATTTCATGGAACCTAGGTAAGTTTCACAAGTATGCTAATGAGCTGCCTTCTCTCACGGAACACCTGCGCAATTTCAAGAGCTTGGAAAAAAGTAGAAAAACCTTCGAGGTCATTTTGAAAGCTGTAGACCAGAAAAAGCGACTCCGGAGATCAATCAGAACTAGGACCATTGTAATAAAAGAAAGCTTTGAAAACGCATGGTACACATACCGACATGGTCGAGTCCACGAGAGACTCTAAATTCACGGTCGCCGCAGCACCATCGTAGGCCAAATGAGTGCGATAAAGCCGTTCGGCAGCAACAAGATATTTGGCCGTTTTACGACGAACTGCATTTCGTCGAGACATATCCGATTCGTGTTGAATACCCTGAAGAACACCGCATTTCGATGGTTGCAAAAAGAAAGACTGCCAATTCAATACAAAGCACAGCTTATAATATACCCTTCACAGGTTTGAAAAAAAGGAATTCAAAATTTACTGCTATCATAGAAACCACTAAGACGGAATTATCTCAAAGGATTCCAACACCTGCTTAGATGTCGTGCTAGTCGCAAAAAAACATGAAAGAGTAATCAAAAATCAACTAAACAGTTGTAAATAGTTCCAGTTATTGGCTACCCCACTATTGAAAGAAAGAATAGAAATCAACTGGGGTCAACCTGGATAAGGCTACTAGCGGCATTTTTGTAACATTGGAAGGCTAGCTCGTAGGCATGTTCGTGTTCGGCACGTTGGGCAGTTGACACCAAATGAGCAGCGTGCACCAGATAATCACCGTTTTCTTCGGGAGGCGTCACTAAAAAATTGGAAGAAAAAAGCTGAGAACAATAATTTGATCATGACGAAAACTTTGAGGACTTTCCCTGCTAATGAATGAGCCGGAAAACAATGGTGCTCCAGGGAAACAGACTTTTTCCCAGTTACGTAGAACGAAAGCAGCTACTATGAACGCGTCCAGCAGGAGTTCCTTATAGGTTTAAGCTATTCTCGCAGAAATCACAACGGAAATGGACCTTTCCTAGGAAGTGGAGTGGAACGGGACAGAGGTTCAGTTGAAATTGTTTTCATGAACCGCCAGAATTTAATGCGCTGCTACACATGCCCCTTCCCCTTCTCTACACTCTGATCTCCCCTTATTCCTCCTCTGTTCGATCTTTTTCCAAAATAGAAGCTGATAGGCACGGGGTGAAATTGGCACAACACCGTGCCAAAAGACTCGTTTCTTTCAAAGCATAGCCATCGTTCCAGTTGCTCTATGAAAAAGTGAGGTCTTTAGAAAGATCTATTGCACTACCTAGGCGGTGGAACATCTATCCAAAGTTATACCTTCCCTAGTTAACTTATCTAGATATCAATACATATAACGGTCAAAGTGAAACTAACTCTGGGACGAATATTGATTAGACGCTGAAAGTTTTGGAAAGATTCTCTCCATCACAGAAGGTTTACGACGATGCCTATGGGAAATCTCTGCCACTGGCTCATTTGTGCCTGAAACACACTCTTACAATAAGCCGTGAATCTTGATTAAGCGGTAAATTATGGTCACAACCATACATGATCCATACTTGCTACTAACACATCTTTATAACGTTTACGACTCACTAATGGTAACATCGGGAAAATGAAACTCGCCAGCTGATGCAGATGAGTGTAATCCTACGTTTGATTCCGTGTAAGTGTTTTCCTGAACTTGCATAGTAAGAAAAAGCTCAATTCAAAGAATCAACCTGAACAAGGTCGTGCATTTGTCTCCTTCGACACCTATCAGTTATATATCGAACATAAAGCCGAGAATGCAGAACATCAAAGTAGGGGTCAAATGTTATAATAACACTAGGAACGTGCTGAAGGACCAAAACAAAGAGCTAATTTCATCCAAACAAAGGAACTGAAATATATTTATTGCTTGAGCAACCAAGGGTTCACATAGCTCATCAGTAGAATGAAATAAGGCGAGCCTTGAATGCTTGTAACTTCACACTATTCAGGAAGAAATTTTAAGAAGATTTACTGACTGAAGGTGGTATGCTCTCTGGAACCAGCACTTGTGTAGTGGTACTGCTTTGGTCAACACTGAAAAAATATGTGAATAAGGGTCAGCAATGGTTAAAGCGTGATGCTTAAAATAGATATTCGAGAACCCAAAGAAAGTTTCGATGACTTGCATTTTGTTATTGATTTTAGCGTATATGTGGTCGGGTCCATATCCGCACTCACTCTCCTTACAAGTTTCACTTTAGTTGCGCCCCTGAGTAATTATACTTTTACACACACAGTCTCTATAATCCTTCTAGCCTCTATAGCGACATGCATGGCAACCAAAGCAACAATTTTTAGTAGGCTTATTTCTGTTGTGAGATTTCTATTGAGTTGCGGTGGCCCCGTTAGGATCGAGCAGTTGAGTTAAAAAAGTACCTCGCTCGGAAAAAGTAGTAGCCCAGTAAATTCGGTTGGTAGCTGAGAGCGAACCTTACGGGAGAGGACTCTAGTATTTCTCAGGAGATTTATGAGCTGATATATTTGACGTTAACGTTTTCTGTGACAGATTCGACCTACTTCCCTTGTCATCTCCTCTTATACCTTTACAACTTTCCAAACCTTACCTTCAAGCCGTAACAATACACTTATGGGATAGATTATAGTATGTAGTTAAGATTGCACGATTTATTCATGTTCTAGCTTAGAAGAAACATTTCATACAGAGTTTGCATCCGCCTACGCAAGCCTGCCGTCCTCTACTAATTTCCCCTCTAAATCTCCTTTTACTCTATATTTTAACACCTGCAGTTTCTATCCAGCCACTATCAATTTTGAAAGAGAAACAACGCTAAACCAAAAATCTTGTATGAATTCGTGAGGAACTACCAACCGTATTCGTGACCGTATATTTGAGAGCGAGGTTTGGAGAACTTTTTTTCTGCTGGACCTTAGCCCTACTAGCAAAAAGCCACCACCAAGCAAATCCCTTAGCTACATTACCTGCTTATCACAAAATGTGCAAAACAATAAACATTTCGAACAAGCAATTGTAAGGAAAATAGAAAGCTTTTTCTCATCACGCAAAGTCAACGAACCCAGCCATCGTTTTAAAAATTGACCAAGATGCGCAAAAGGAATACTTGTTGATGAATCGAATAGAATTAAACCAATTTTGTTGGAAAATGCTGAGCAACACTAAAGAATCGCAAAACCGTTCAAATATCTACTAAGCGATTTCAATAGAAGGATCATCTTTTGATTAAATATCACTCCGAGATAGAATTATACTTACATGTTTGGAGCGTCCAAGATGTTGACTCCTTCATAGACAAAAGCATTTAGGGTAGCAGGTTGACCAACGTTCACTCTCTCCGTGGCCTTCTAGAAATTATTGTGGAAAAATTGCAGAAATAAATTCCAATAAGCGATATCATAACAGCGAATGCGTTCAGAAGGTGGGAAAAAGCACAAGGCATCGTCAAATAGCTCACCTCCATCCACTCTTGAAGCACTCGAGCCTTTCGCAACACCTCACTATCAAGAACGAACGCAAGAAACTCGTCAATACAATGTCGACGTTCCGCCACAGTTGCAGGATCACAGCTGCCTAATAAACGAGGTGGAGCAAACTGCGGAAAAAGCCCTCGCAGGTATAACTAAATCATTCGACATTTAACAACACCGATTACTTACAACCATCCTATTTTCAATGTTTTGACTATGAAACAGGGTGGCTCAGTGGTTTATAAGAAACTCTTTAAAAACAAACTTATATCGATACTTACTTGCTTATGTAGTTTAGATAAGTTGATGTGTAGACGGTTTAGTTCTCGGAATCTGGATGTTAGCACGAAATAACGATCATCTAGTTGAATACTGTTACGAGGAATACACTAAAATGAAGAATTGAACAGGCACAACTTGACATTTGGAGGAAACATCATGATCACGAATAAAAAGAGAAATGGCTGAGTTCTAATCTGAATGACTAATTTCGTTCTATCAGTTTGTCCTTCGAATCGCTTCATGCATTGAGAAATAGACTACAATACAAGGGTAAATGGTAAACTAGGAAGGATAATATTGAGAACACCTACTTTAATCTCAATTTGGTACTCGATATGAGTACCAGCGATTTGCTTCACTTCGGCGACATCGATTACCCTACCAGTAACTGCCCATTCGTTTTTGGGCCGGAACAGTAGTCTACCAATTTCAGTCGTGCAATAACTTTCATCGGGATAAAGTGAAGACATCTGGCATACTGTAAGTACTGATTTTCATGAAAATTCAAGCGTAAAGTAAACGATTCGAGTGCGTTATCCTTTTTTACGATGAGCAAGAGCGTTTAGCTAGTACAAAAGTAAGAATTCTGAACGAACTGGAACAAAAATCACGGTCTTAAAGGCTAGAGCATTTGAATCGAAAAATAAGAGAATCATTAAATAATTATTCGTTTCATCAAACAATTATCGTCAAAAAACAACAAGAAGAACTTCACAAAAATTCTTGCAATTTGTAACTCAATCAATTAATACCCGCAAGAGTAAGTATAAGAAATGCTTTAATCACAGAACTCTAACACTTCAGGCGATAACAGATTATTGGACTCCAAGCAACTCTTACCTATCCTTATTACAGCGAGAGAGCACGGTTTCTAAAGAAATCTACATCGGTAACCAAGCCTAGATTTTTTGCTCAACGCCCTTTCTGTTTCAAATGTATGCGCAGCTTTCAAAGACCCTGTAGGACATCGGTGGGAGTATAGCGACGAAACATCACGCCACGATTGATTGGCTTATTCTATTCCCCCAAACCCACAAAAAATACCTCGCATTTCCGAAAAAACCCATGATTTTGAGTTTTATTAACTTAAAAACTCACATGTGACTTCATATTGCCCCTGGCAGCAGTCCATGACAAACAGCTGGTGTATTCAAAGAAATGTCAAAAAGTCGTCGATACTAAAGCCGCTTTTACCACGGTTACACTTTCATTATTAGAAGAAATATTAAACATAACTATTTATCACAACAATAAAATCCGTCCCAATAAATGAAAAGTCAACAACCTCAGAACTCACACAATGTTCTCTGAGAAAAGGACTTCGTAAGTTCTGACAAGCATAAAGAACAGTGTAATACCTTTGCTTAATAATTATCTCAACTTAATTTAAACAATAAGCATCAAATCAGGCTCGAAACAAACGAAAGAAACTTGGTGATAAGTCACAAAAACAGAACTTTAAATAATTAGAGGACGAAACTGTCCTTTCGAATAAACTGAAAGGAAGCTTCAGCAGTATAGCACGAACACTTGCTCGATCTGACCTCAGCCAAATACTGCTCAAATGCACGTAGAAACAAGCCAAATCATATGGAGCACTACCTATAGACAAAAAATCCACATTTCCACTAAATGTAATATGAATGGCTGAAAGGGGCCGTTGTGAAGTAGATATCGTTAAAGAACTACCAGAAGCGAGCTTGATGTTGGCTACAACAAATTGGGACAGAAGTCCCTCAACAATGAAACCAAAAACCATATTTCATCACAGAGACGGTGTTTTTTGCGACAGGGTCCAACACACTAAAATTCATGAACCGAAAGCGCTATACTGCACCATCAAGGTAAACTCATAGAACCCATTTTTGGCAGCAACTTGAGCGCTTATAGAGACCGGATTGGTCTTTTAACTCAAGAACTTTGGCACCAGAAATCCTAAGGGCGTATCTTCGAATAAAAAATTTAGTGTTCTGGTATTAGAAACAAACTAAAACTCATTACCTTAACTCTGTTTCAATATTCTCTGTTCAAAATTCATGGGAAGACTACTGCAAAGAATAATGGATACGAACTCTCATGCATAAATTTCATCAGGGAAGCCACAATTAGATAACGGATATCACACAGTGCCTCTTTCAAAAAAAAAAACGTGAAATTGCTACTTCTTTCCCCATATCCACCCTTTGACCATTCCGGACAAACCACTTTGATCCTCCGTTTTCGTCCCAGCTGCTTTTGCTGCCTCCGCTGCTTTCTTTGATACAGGAGTAGTCTTGGCCCCTTCCATACATTTTGCTAATCGTTCTTCAAGGTCGGGCATCTGAATAAATTAATGTTACAGGCAAAAAAGATGTATCCGCTTCACATGCATTGCTACTTCGCTCTTTGTGACATAAATTTTTCAGCAGGATCAGAAATAGAAGTTCTGTTGAATTGGCACAGCGCCGAAAAAATTCCTAACAGGGCTACAAAAGAAATCAAAGGAGATAACGGTTTACTACGCGATGTATGTAGCCCTTGGCTTGCACTTCAAAGTTGGTCGTCGAGTGTTATGCGAATTCTTTAAAATTCTGCCACCAAGCGTCTAAATTCCTTCAGACTATCGAAGCAGCCTTGACATGAATGCAGATTACCCTTTTTTAAAAACCTAAAGGTCTCGAAGTTTAATGGTAGTAATGTGCAACTTTGCATCTATTCTAGCGAGAATGTCTGCTTCGCAATGAGCTACGTTTATTAATCTTTTTGGGGAAGGAAGGCCAATAGCCCTGTTCGCCAACCTAGACACTGATCCTGAATATAATAAAAGGTCTTCTTAAAGGTGATGCTAAGAGTCCGTTGGAAGAGAAACTTTTCGCAACATCAGCGACTCTGTCAACTAGGTGGACAGGGTTCTTTAGAAAGGCAAGGGGCGGATGGTCGGCTATATAAGGGCGGTGGCTCAAGCACGCGGCTTCAGCTAGTATGCACAAGTTCATGCCAGGTCCGGAACGTGCTTTTAGTGTCTTGCTGCTCCGATTCGTTATTTTGCGCCATTTGCGAGCAAACGATATCAAGGGAAGAAGTTTCTAGGATATGTCATATCTGGGATTTTTTTTACCGCTGATTCCCTCCAGCGCCTTGCAGCGCATTGCACCGCACTTTAGTCAAAGAAACAGGTGGAATTCCGAGAGATACTACAGAATGGTACAATGATACTCAGATTTTCAAGGCTAAATGAACAATTCAACTACTTATAGAATTGAAGATACAATCAGATTATCCAAACCAACTCGTACTACTCAAAAGCTTCGCAGGGCTACTATTTATGGTAGGTTCATCGTATGCTTGTCTTTGATATCCTATCCGTTATCACGCAAATGAACGTACCTTAACGTGATTCAATGCCAAATCAAAGAAGATAGGCTTGTTTGGCATCAGAATAAATGGCGGAGGCATCTCTGCCACCGGTATCGTGCGTTTGTCGCGCAGCGCACCAGCAACATCCCACTGCCGCCATTCCGATAAAGTGTCCATGAGAGGCTGTAACAGGAATCGAGTTATGTAACTCCGCTTGTCATTGTTGCATATCAATGCAGGATGGAAAATATTCAATACTAATTAGAAGACGTAGCATAAACTCAATACTAATTAGAAGTCGTAGCATACGAGAATAAGAGATGTTGGTAAGCAAAATTTCACTGGCATAAAGACAAATTATAACTCACCCTATCATCGATATCTTGTGCAGTTTGTTCATCAGCCTCATCAGTAATACCTGCTGCCGCCGCTAAACGTTTAGCTCTCGCCGCAATGCGTGCTTGGTCAATATCACGACCGAGCTCACGAAGGGAATCCTGAAGTAAAAGACTAGGGGTTTCGGATTCCAAATTTTCATCGGAGAAACTGCACGGTTAATTCACCAATGCTTCTTTCAATTACAGCAGCAGGTACGAGGAAATGGGAACCGCTCAATTTTGTAGAGACCTAAACTCTACTTTGCTTAAAGCCTATATGGTAATTTGTTCGCCAGTAATAGTGCGCTTTTCAAGGTAATTTTGGGTCGAACAATTAATCCACAGCATCCACAGCCTCAGAACTCCACAAATCATTCAAAACTCGAAAAACATGGAAACGATGGTCAGACCTGTACTTACTTCAGTTTCCTCTACCATATATGAATTCCGTTTGAGTTGAGACACGAATTTGCTGGCTTCCTTGACACGTTGAAGAGCTCTTTCGAACAGTGCTGCGGCCTCGCTAAATCGGGACAAGGCTGCATAAGCAGCAGCCATGTAATGACACCTAAATCACAGAGATAAAACAGGATGGATACAGTCTTTTGACGCTGATCAATTATGTTTCTGGATGCGCACGCGCATTCGACTTCCATTCAAAATCGCAGTGGCGCTTCTAATGTGTACATGACCTGTACGATAATTTATACTGAGCAGTTGGTATACAGTTGGTATGTGCTTTTAGCACCATCCCCCCAGACGAGCCTAGCACATTTAACCAAACCCCGTGGAAGAAGGTTTGGTTGGCGGATGTAGCGCCACATTACTACGCCACCACTGTCCCTAAAGGTATGCTCATTTATTTCATTTATCAAAGGGCTGTGCAGCAAGGCGAAACCACACAGAAGAGAAAAACGGTAGCTACAGCACATAGCCTATTAATCACATCGCTTTCATTGAATCACTTTCAACCAACCTGAACGCTCTGTAGTACTCGATCTTTGCAGGGATTGCTTGGGTGAGATCTTTGTTGTATTCTATCCCAGGCAATTGGAGAAGCTGAAATCATAGAAATGGAAATCACTCTTTGAGTCGCAGTCTACAAACTCTTTGCTCATCATATGAAAAACTGGAGGCCCACCTCTTTGTAAACCTCGATAACAGAATCGTATAAACGCAACAAATCTTGAGGTTTGGATTTCTTCTCAGTTCTGAAACAGTTCAAAACATAACAATTTTAGAGCTCATTAACTGCCGATAAGTCAAATTACTTTGTATTCTCGATCAGTGCTAGATAGCGTGAAGCCGTTCCAAGCATTTTGAGCGACTCCAGATACGACTTGATTGTTTGCAGTGCCTTAAATACCAACGACCGGTAATGAACATATTTACATACGAAACAATGAAAGAGTTTAAGATGACTTAAGCACTGTACAAATAGAAAGAAAAAGAAAACGCAGCCTTCGAAGCCGAACTTCAAGTAGGTTACTAGACTTCTATATTGATACGATGCTCAATGCGAAAAAGCGTATATAGAAGAAAACATAAACTAAAGCAACAACAATCACCGATGAGTCGGCATTATCGGAAGCTTTCCTACGAATCAAATCTGATATCCGCTCCAGAGCATCACGCGTATCTGAGAGCTGTTTTTCGTACAGCGTCATCTGTAACAAAACCGTGAAGAGAGGTTATCGGGTCAAACAACTGCACAGTTCCCCTTGGCTAATTCCATCTCATGCTATAGAAGTAACATAAAAACTCTGCTGACCCTTTCCTTTGGAGTTTCGCATTGTGCCAGTTCATTGTGAACCTGGCGCCAACCTTGTACCACTTGTCGAGCCTTATCATCTTCAACAGTAGACTTGAATCCACCCCATTCTACAACAACCACGTCGTCACATGAAGCTTTCGAGCGCATTTCAGCAATTAGGCGCTGGAAATAAATTACATAACGGTAGAGATCCCACAAAAGGTGAAAGCGCCATAAATGTAAGATGGAAGTTTGACAAGACTGACATCGACTGCTTCACTATCTGTACCCTGTGCGCGGATTTCCATAAGTTCATTCATCATTCCATCAACGGGTTTAGCATTGGCATCAGCGCAGCTGAACTCACACAGCCGAATCTGGGGTTGGATTTCACGACATCTAAAAAGAGAGAAGATGAGAAAGCAAATACGAAAAGGTCTACATAATCTGCAAGACATAAAGGATTGGCAAAAGGACTACTCGTTCAGCTGACCTGAAGCATACAAAAATTATGAGCATTAGAAAAATTCGCATTTTGCGGTGGTCCAGGAGTGTTGAATTGCGCTACACCTGACCAGGGTTTAAAGTCTCAATCCCATAACTACCCCGATGGTAAGAAGATAATTCTTGAGTCGAGTAGTTTCTTGCTTTCCGCATGATAAGAGAAGGGACAACTGAACACAAGACAAAATTCACAAAGGCAGCCACTGTAGCCAACCAAATTACAAACCTAATAAGAATAAAAGCGATAAGGAGCAAACCCTATTACATGCTCTTACCTAGCTCTATACAAGTTCGCCAACGTCGTATTGTGTGTGGCTTCCGCTAAACGTTCATAGACCGTTCGAGCCGTCTTCAGCAATTCAAACGCTTCGGGCCAGTTACGCAGTTCGAAAGCGCAAACACCGGCAAGCCAGGCCGCATAGGCCTGTGCTTCCAGCTTTGTCGGCGCATCGCACTGAAAATGGCAATACAGAGGATGAAAAGGATATTTTAAATGCAGAGCAGCGCAGATTGAGAGAGAAGATGAAACTGACTCTTCTGAGAGGGTTCGACGCAACCAGTTTCAGACTGCAACGCCTGCTACACCCTCGCGCTATTTCGCATTAAGCAGTTACGTTAACAGGCTATGCCAAGAAGAACGAAAAAGAACGTAACAAGGCCTACCCAGCCTATTCACAAATTGTCATTCATTTCTCAGTCATACATCTCTCTTGGATATCAGAACAGCTGTGCACTTAAATGATCAGAATAAGAAGACCTTGAAGAACATACCCTGCTGTTATTTCTGACTAGCATTTCAAGAGCTGTTGCGTGGTAGACTGCACGCTTCAAATGCATACGCATTGACTGCCGCTTGCGAATTTTATCAGGATTGTCTTCCATCTCCATTTTGTCCGACATTGCTGATGCCCAACGACGCTCAGCTTCAAATACTCCCAACTGTATAAATCTGAAGAGGACGAATGGTAGAAACGTATACAAGGCATGATTAAATTTGCAATATTCATAAATAATTGGCCTATTTTCGAGATAACAAGATTACATAGAATATAATAATAAGTAACAAACGTTACATGTGAATCTCAACCTCCAATCTCACCACAGTGTCAAAAATAAATAATCGCAATATATCGTTTGGAATTCTGTTCTTATACCAAACAACTCAGCTTGATCAAATTCTCACCTTTCATCCACAAAATCTGCCTCAGTCAGAGACCTTTTCACGAATTTCGCCCTATGTCGTCGTACACATTTATGAGTGTTGATGAATTTCAAGGCATGACGAACACGATCCAGTTTTGAGCTACAGTATGACCTGTAATTGAAGATTATAGAAGCGAGCTTAAAATTTTTGAAGTTTATGATTCTTTTTAGGTATCATCATTTAGTTGACGAAGATATGCAGGCCCACAAACCGATCGGCTGCACGACAAATCAGCATGTCAAGAAAAGGCTTCAAACTGTTGTATCAGTCAGTGGTGAACAATTCCAACATCTTACACAGAAACCTTACATTCCGAACAAAAATCAGCTTTTTTTTGTTTAGTTTCTCGTAATGAGCCTTTTCAAGCCGCAGATTGAAGGCTGTTCTTTATAACAAAATTATTGCAGGAAATTACTTTAAACTCAAAAGAGGAACAATGAAAGGTGTGAAAACAGAGGAAAAACAAAAATATCAAAGATGACAGACCTATATCTGTGATAGTCAGCATGCCTCAAGCCGTGTTGCTGTTGGGCGTCTTTCACCATCTGAATTGGGAAGGTAAAGTGTTTTCTGGGAAACTAAAGGAGGTTAAGAGTAACGTCAGACACATACTTGAAGAATGTGTACTGTTTGAAATGGAGCCTGCTCGACGGAAACGTCCTCCATAACAACGTCTTCCGTCGTCATTGTCCACTGCAATTAGGAATTCAACTTATGAATGCTTTGTATAAATTGGAAATCGCCACTGGAATCCAAATTCTACGCGATTTCGAAAAAGAATAGCATGTCTGGTACAACACTATATGCATTATCTAAGAGAACAACACAAAACTTAACAACTATTCAAAAATAGGCGTATTTGTAAAGTATTACATGCTGTCGCAGACGACACGCGTCAACATCGGCAAGCTAACTCGTCCGAAACGATTCGCGTCGCTCAAGATGCGTCAACGGCGAGATTCTTCTAAATGCAATTTTCTTGCTCAACATTCCTAGGCTCCTTCATGGTTATCTTCTCTATTCAAGGTTTGGGAGAGGGCTTAATTACTGTCTCAACAAACCATCGCGGGGCGAACGGGCAAAGGCAAATGGACGCAGTGACGGCGTACTGCGACGAGTTACTTGACCCATCATTTGGAGAGTGAGAAAATGACCAACGAAGGTGACCAGACGCGAACTACAAGTTTTGCTGGTTCGGTTGAGAGTTGCTTTTATATTGCTCTGTGTTGTAAACAAGGGGTTTGATGGCTGTTGTACTGAGAAAAGCATCATTCGAAACCAACGGAAGTCAACGTTCAACTCAAGAGAAACGAGATTTCAAACGAGCACTTGGCCCCTACGGTAGAGGGCAGCTGTAACGGTTTTTCTTAGCAACCTACCTGCATTCCAACCTTTTCACGTTTTTTGAAAATGGTTAAAAATGTGTCTGGTTGGTAAAACCAGCCACAAATGGGTAAAAAACAAGAGCATCTCGGAGCATAATCCCAATTACTAGCCTCGATGCGAGAGTAATTCAACTAGGGGATGATAAATGGGTACATTTTAAGTTAGGGAAGACAAACAGAGTCCCTTTCGACAGTTGGTACTCAGTGGCATCGAAAAGATACTACTCATATTTGTTACATATTTTTTTTATCAGTGTTCCCACGGGAAAGGTTTATTTGGACCGATATAACTGCACCAACGGGGCTACAAATTTATCGCGTCGAAAATAACGTTTACGGTGGGAATATGGGACCCTGAACATTGGATCGGTTACTGGAAGATCCCAAGAGATTGCTGAACTGGTAAAGAGCAGGAACATCCAAGTCCTATGTCTTCAGGAGGCAGGCTGAAAAGGAGTAAAGGCTGGATATGTCGGAGAGTTGGTCAAGCTCTACTACAACGGAGAAGACCAAATGAAATGGTGTGATCATAGCACTACGGTGATTTCAACGTCTCGTGAAAATGTGGTACAGTAACACCCCAGTGTCCNCCACCCACAGTACCTTTTTGTTGTGCCGTAAATGTGACTGGTGTTTAGAAGAGCTTGAATATGCATTCGGGTTACTGAGTAACACATTCACGAGACTACGAAATCCGTCTTGTGCACATAGCAGAGGCCGATCTCCTCAGAGGGTCTGTCTCCGCCATTGACAGGATAAGTGGCTGGATCATGGCTGTGAGCATGGAGACGAAAAAGGGGTCGTGGGCAATAATAGTTTACGGGCTGCAAGCCACCTGCCGCGAGTACGAAAAGGACAGTTCTATCTGAGCACTAACGGAACCATCAGATCAGCACCGAAAGGGGAAGGATTTAACTCAACGGGTGATCTGAATCGCCACGTCGGTAGTGAACGGAGGAGCCTAGCAAGGGTCGCGGTGGTAGAGGAGTTGGAGTCAGGAACGAAGAAGGAGGGAAGACCTCTGGGCTCCTACGACCCTCGACCCAGCAATCTGCAGCTCATTCTTCGCGAAAAGTGGGACTCAAAGGGTAACATACAGCAGTGAAGGAAGACAAGCGGAAACTGACCATGTGCTCGTGAAAAGGTCGTCCCCCAAAACTGAGAAGAACATTGAGGTTCTTCTTGGCAAGGAACTGGCTCTAAAAGCATTGGCCTCCCCTGGCAGCCATAGCCATTCAGCTCCCAAAAAAGCACGGCAAACCAAGAACGGCGCGAGAACTCGATATTGGAAGCTTCATCAGTCGACCTCAAACAAAGGGCTCTCGAAGCAGGTCTTAACGACCCTCTAGGATCGGTCCAACAGACATGGAGCGACGCGGCAAAGGTAATTTCACAATGTGCAGAAGAGACACTGAGTGAGACGCGGCAGGGTCCAGTGGAGAAGAGGCGGCGTGGTCCTGGAATTAGTTCCAACGAGCTCTGAGGCAGAAGAAAGTCGCCTACAAACGCTGGCTACAGACACGAACTCTAAAAGGCCCAGCGGCATGCAGATGTTGCACTAGGCTAGCCGAGCTGCTTCGACAAAAGCAAAGAGCATGGAACTAGACGCCCTGTACCGAGCCCGATGGTCGGCAAGGAGGCAAGTTCACTGTTCAGTTTAGTTTCATAATAGTTTCTCTCTAGCCAAAGCGCGGCACCAGGCAACTCAGAACATCAGGGTGGTGAAGTCCGTTGAATACAGCGAGGGTGCAATTCTGAAGAAGCCTGGTGAGGGCAGGCGTAGATGGAAAGAACATCGACAGGCCCCCAATGAAGATGTACACCGTGAGGGCAGCTCCCATTAGAGGCCACAGCTGTGCCCATCGCACTATGGACAGATAAATGATAAATGGGGTGTGACAAGAGGTGCATACAGTCTGGATGGAGGATACCACGTCCCCAGCAGGCAGCACCTAATTTAGGAACCGCATCGACAACGAACAAGCGACGCTAAGCCGGGACGTCAAAAAAGGAAGATATCAAGTTTGGTTCTTGTCGGATGAGATCGTTATGTATCAACTGGTGTATCAATCCACCTTCTCCGCTTTCCGTGTCAACTTATTTTTCCTGGATTCAATAGAGTGATCGTCCCAACTTTTAGATGATTAGAGTTCAAGGAATTATACTCTGTAGCGTCTACCACCTATGAAAAATATTATCCCTACATTGTCTTCAATAATACGAAAGAATGTATGAATTCACCACCAAGCACTTAACAGTAATCGGTCATCTGCGTTTTCAGCAGAGAATGTGGTTTCTTTCAGGCCAAGCCTCAGGAGTGTAAGAGACTAGGATAGCTGAGATGATTACCTCGAACGAAAAGCTGAATACTCGTTCACCCTGTAGCTTACGTCGGTGTACTATCATCTGCGAGGGCCCCTGCGACCTAGTATCCTCCCCTCTTAAGGTTTTCAAGGGAAGGACGCTAATTTGCAGTGACCTTCGTAAATGATATGTAGACCGACGTAAGCCCTTCAACACGCTGATCTCAAATCTGTGTTCCGAGTCTACGAAAGGATTATGGGAACAAATTCACGGGTCCATTCTGTCCAGGTGTCGTGCCACCGATTTACTTTTAGAGCGAACCGAGCAAAAGTCAAGCGTGCAACTATAGCGCGCTGAGAGGACGGTGTACTTGTAGGCGTGAAGCGGAAGCACTAATCTCGATGCATTCAGTTGTTTTGCTTTCCTATAAAAAGTGTCCTTAACTCTTGCAAAACCCTTTTACTCATCATATAGACTACCTACCTGACTTTTCCATTCCACATACCGAATAGGGATGCACATACAACTTTCTACTCTGGCCACTCAAGATGTGGTTACGGAATTCGACAGAAACTTATGCTGGATTGGGTTCGACCAGCAGATTTGCCTTCAATCCTACTAACTGACGACTGAGCTCGTTCAAGGACTATGAAGCAATTAGAGTGTTTTGCCNACCTGTCACTTCTCAAACTCAGCCCTTTGATGAACTATATTTTTTTCGTACCATTTTAAGCCATGTACATATATGCGTATCGTCTCTTTTGCTATTGCTCATTATGTGGGCTTCCATAATAGCAATCGCAACCCCATGATTCGCCTTATCCCACTAGTGTGCTTCTTGTTTGGCGCAACTATAATAGATTTGAAAGATTTCGTCCTCATTCATGATTTACAGCAGAGTATCTGGATGGGGACTCGGATCCGTAACTTTGTTTCCAGTACCGTTTCGCAGATTTGGAAGCCAAATTTGAAATCATGGTACAGAAGCGCTTACGCTGATATACATCTAACATAAGGGTCTAACATAAGGGCCTAGTATCCTTTCTTTACTAGTTTAGAATTTGCATGCTGTAGCGTGAGACGTAGTAACACTGTGTTCATTCCTTAATATACAGACACTATTATGCCCCTCCCCCCTCCCACCCCATTGCACCCTAACTACTTTTCCACCCTAATCATGATAAGGGCATGCTGTTTATCTGCGTTTAATACGAGTTGAATGTACGTATATGTACATTCGTACGACTCCCTTTTTACTACCTTTTCGGAGCTTTGTCTTGAGAAACTGCTGGTTGAGAAACGCGTTCTTCGCCGACTTTGTATTACTCTGCACCACCACCTCCACTACTTCATTCAAACTACATACTACTTAGAAGATTATCCGATTTATAAAAAGTTTCAGCTGACGAGTGAGAGTGCCGCCAAAGGTATTTGAAGTTCACGAGCAGAATGCAGTATTCATACCGAAAATCAACGCCATTTATTTATTCACAGAATTTAATGCAATCAGCAGGTTATAAGTGTTCGAATTTAACCAGGCAAGAGATCGTGATTTTACCCAAAATACAGTAATGCTAGAGCTTTACTACGACATATTTGATCTCATGAGGAGGAGGCTGGTCGAATATGATTCGATCGAGTAAAACCAACAACAACAGAAAAATCACAATTTCTTAGGGCCTAGTTCTGTTGCTGATGGAGCTAGAGACGAAATGCGGGAGACTGAGTTTGAGACGGTGATTTCACATGGCTACAAAACTATTCAGAACGGTAAGCGAGGAACACATGCGGCCTCGCACTCGCTGATCATACAAGCACGAATCAGACGTAACGTCGCTATTGCCTCACGCTCCCCGGCTTCACCTGGCATATGACCGAGTTCATGTGTGGCAGCCTGAAACATGTATGTGCTTTTATCACAGGCAATAATCAGTATAGGTGCTCGTTAGCATTTTGTGAGAGCCTCCGGTAAAATTTGTATTAATTATTATTCTAGAGTATCACTTTTTTCTTTGGATGGAGTAATCTTCGAAGAAACGGAAAGAAAACTGAATCGTTCTGACTCACAGCTGCAATTGTGTACCAGCAGTCCTTTTTGCAACATACGCAAGGCATTCGTGAGTGCTCCTCAACAGAGCATGCTTCTGGTGTATTTGATGAGGAGGGCATGGAGTAAACTGCAACCAAGAACTTTTCAAGCTTTTCATCTCTCAAAATAAATCCTGCATGCAATTAATGTAAAAGACTGCAGTCGTACTCTCTGATTTATTTATTGAGGGTTGCTCTAAGACAACTTTGGAGTCTCCAAATTGTCTACCCCATGTAAAAAACACATCTATGTGATACTACATACATATTTATTTTTTACGATAAATATCGGAGAATAACTCTCGAATAATCGTTGCTTAAACTTCTTGCGCAGCATTAGATTTCGACCCAGCAGGAACTTTTATCGTAATTCCACGATATGTCAGGTTTAGCTCAACAAATTTACTAAAAACTTGTTTAGCATCGCCCGAAAAAAGTGCTTTTTCGGTTGAGCAGATGACTGGGAAGGCCAAGATGTGGGGGAAGGTGATTCTGATAGGGGTTGAGAAGTGTGAGAGAAAGATGAATGAACAGCAAGGGGGAGTTCGAGAGTAATGAGTGAAGCCAATGTGAGTATTTAGGAGTAGTAAGGAGCGTTTTTCCAAGCCGGACATACATGGGTATGCGTATGTTGGAGGATTCCGATTCGGAGGTTCGGAAGAAAATGATCTGTGGGAATTTACTTTTTCTTTCTCTTCTCCCTGGCAACCTTTATCTCCTCATCGGAAATGTTCATCGTCGCGTGACTCGAACCATATAGTCGTTAAAAAGTTTGTCGGGTCAATTATGAAGAATGCCTTTTGCGGTAAGAATTGAAATTACTCACAGCCTGATGGAAAAGACAGGGTGGCAAGTGATAGGAAGACTATTTGGATAATATGGATAAGGTTAATGGGATGGAAGTGTAGGAAGGTGGAAGTGAATGAAGTCGGTGGGTCGATATAGAAGCTCACCCTACTTTCTGGCACTATTAGTCCACCTCAGTTGGCATTCATTCAGTACAGCACACATCGTTCTATTCGAAGACAGTCTACTCCCTTCCAAGAAAGAAAAGTATTTGTGATCTGAGCTGCTGTTGGTTTGAATAGATAGAGGTTAAACAAAGCAAGGACAGGACAATGTGGTGTATGAGTCGGAAACATCCCAGTCGAGTTGGATGCGTTTTGAAAGATGACTGTAAGCACATGTGATCTAGAAATCGAGTAGAATAAGTTTTTCTGTTGTCTAGTTATTCTGTAGCTGGTTGTTTCCGTGCTTTACTGTTGTGCGAACGCTACTCGGTTGTGTCCTTCGTACTACTGGTAGAGGTCGATTCCGCTACTTTTCACCCAGAAAATCGTTTCATCATAGAATCATCCTTCATTATAGAATATAGAAAAAAGCTTTTGGGCGTTGATCAATCCTGTCTGAAGGATGCGCCCCCGCATTCGACTTCCATTCAGAATCGTAGTGGCGTTGTGAATGCGTGTGTGGCAAATGAGTTGCGGTGGTCACTCGATGTACAAGTCATTGCTTTTATCCTCCCAGACAAGCCTGTTACCAGTAGCCTTCGTTGACACAGACTGAAAGCGATCCAGGATTCGAACCCGTGACCGTGGGTGTGAAGAAATAGTGCGCAAGTTGCCGTGCACCACATCCGCAAAAGTTTTCATTAGGCAACTTATCCTGTGGCTATATAATCGGCTTGGCTAGGCCCTCACTGTTGATGGACTTATTTTGTGACTGTTCACTAAATGACTCAAGGAATCCGCCGATCTCTCAGGTTGGCTTTTGCCGAATTCGTATATATATGTATGCGAGAAAAGGCTCTTATTCTGAAATTCCGAATACGCAATAAAGTATGCGAAAAGCACAGCCTAAATGTTTCCCAAGTACTCGCTTATACTTCTACTAACAACCGGGTAACGTTGAGTGCTGCGAAATCGGTAGCATTCGTTATGCAATCAGACTCTGGTATCAGGGTTGTAAAGGAGAAACAGGATTTTCAGAGTGAAAGTTTAAGAAATGGAGACCGAAAATGGAAGGGCCAGCAGGTCCAAAATTGTGTGTGAAGATGGAAGTGGAAAAGAAGTGAAGAAGTATTTGATCAAGCATTGACATAGTTGACATAGGCGACCATTTAGCTTCCAGAGCTCATCTTTGTGATGGAAATCGAGTAGGAATTTGGAAAAGAGGGGAAAGGAGCGACTATGGTGAGATGTGGTGGATGAAGTGAGGACAAAAGAGTGGAAGTTGGCATTTTCAAAAATTTGTTCAACAACTAGCTGTTTGCGACAGGGTTGATAAAGAAGATAAGGCACAGAGAAGTGTCAAAAGAACCAGTAGCGCTGATGTATTGAAGGAATAAAAATTTCCAGACAACATGTAATGAATTTCGACTGGCTGGATCTAGACCGATGCCAAGAAAGGATAGAGTAGTAGAAGAAGTAGAAATTTCCCCAGCTTGAACCAGTCCCTGCTACTGCACTGGGAGTCTGAGATTAGCCTTCGAGGTATGAAAAGAGTACCTTTGCGGCAGGAGTTCATTATCACCGCTTGCTACACGCTGATCATCCAACAGGGGCTCTGCCTTCTTTAAGGCAAAGGAACCATGTATGCAAAAAATGTATGCAAAAACTTGTCACAAAGTCGGAAGCATCACTCACCAACTATGCCGATGAGAGCGAAAGCGAATGCGAGTTGAACGCTAGATTGCATTTCGTAAAATGTACCTGAAAACAGCGAAGCAAATTTATGCGTATCGCATCTAGAAACACGAAAAACGCCTCTGCACAATAAACGTGAACGTAGCGATCGTATGGTAGGCATAACGTATGCATAAATCACATTCATAGAACGTTATTGACATGGGAATGAACGTGGAATTGCGCAAAACAGTCGCCCGAAGAAAAAGATGGCTTTTCTGTCTCAGCAGTGGCACAAGTATGTAGATTCCTGTAAGGATC